GAGAAACTGTCCAGGGTACAGGGGTAAACGTGCACAGGTGTTTGTAGTGCCTTCAGTGCCTCATTTGTTCATGAGACAGCTCAGGAAGTGATCTGTACACCATGTATACAGGGAGCCCTGGGAAGTCCACCCAAGTCACTCTTCAGTATACAGAAGGCACCACTGACAGACCTCATAAACATACTGAGAGGAAAAAGAAAGAAAGTGGGATTTGTGGATCAATATCATGCTTGCAAATTTCTAAAATGCACAAACACAAAATATATATTTTCCCAATATATTTTTAAAAATTCACCCAACAAAAGGAGATATGTTAGAATACACATCATATCCACAGAAGTGGTTGCCCAGGTGGAGAGGAGGAGAGGAGGTGCAGAGGTGGTGTCTAGAGAGCTGAGGTATGTGGGCCACTAACTCTGTCCAGACACCCATTTCAGGTAACACTGCCCCCTCCCCAAACACACAATGTTAAATTGTGCTCGCTACGTGCGGCTGAAGACTAAGCCTTCATTCCTACCTATCAATAAAAAAAAATGCAAGGTTCTTCATCACTATTTAGATAAGTCCACCTGCTTCTTTCTTTTCACTGGAGAAAACAGTTTATACAACAATCCTGGAATTTACTCAATGGTTAGGTTAACATAGTTGCAATTATTAAACTTGGCAATTCTTGGACTGTGCCAGGGTAAAGTCAAATCTCGTTATTGACTGGAAGACGTGATATTCAGTCAAATGCACAGAATTATTCAGACACAATTATACTGCCAAACTGATTGTCATGTGGCATTACTTCTTTGGGTGGGAAAACAAGACTGGTAAATAGGGGTTTACTTACTGTTTCATTCCAATTCTGTAACCTGTAAAGAAAACCTATGATTCAAGTTTTAGAGATAGTTGAGAGAAAAAGGAAAAGCCCAGAAGCCCTGCACTTCTTTGTTCAATATGAACGTATTTGGGAGAAAACTTTCTCACTTTTTTGTATTTACTTTAAATGATATGAGAATTAAGGCTTTCAGCTTGGGCCCTGGGCATTTTCCAAGTTTTATAGCTTGCAGAGGGCCCTGCCTGTGCATCCTGTAGCCCAGCTCTGGCACGAAAGCATTAGTCCCCTGTGTGTGGGGTCAGGGTCCTGGAGGAGTGACAGCCAGGGCAGCAGACACATGTAGGTGATGGAGGAAAAGTGGTCACCCTTTGCTCACCGTGCCTTCTGGGTCCACGAGCAGCAGGTGCTTGGCCTGGCCATCATGCATGCCTGTGAGAACAAAGGAGCCCGGGTTGGTGGTGCTCTTCCTGACCAGAAAGTCTCCGTCTCGCTTCAGTAGCCCCTCTGCCTCCTTCCTGCTCATCTCGCCTTGGTACCAAGGCTCCGCTTTCAGCTCTTCCAGCATCTTGGCATCCGGGGCTCTGGGTGAGATGGGGCTGATGCACTCCACAGAGGCTGCCTTGCTCAGCACAGGTCCCACGGACTGGTTCTTGAGAGCATCTTCAAAAGGTTCTGCCAACAACATTTGCCAACAACAGGTCAACCCAGGGAGAGCAAATGATAAACAGTACAATGTGAGGGATGGGAATGCAAAGACAACTCAATCAAAAGAAAGAACTAGAGATGAACAACAGGCTGGTAATATGAAGAGGCTCATCATAACACGCATTTGGAAGCAAAGCCCAAATCTTGGCATGACTCTCTGATGAGTCTGCCTTCCCAAGGCAGTTGGGCGTTGTGCCTTACACCAAGGATTCAAGCACATCCTTTGTCTAACTGGTGAGAATGACTTCAGTTTTGCATGCTTTAGGAGGCCACTCATATTACACATCATCTACTTTCTCTGGAACATCGACTAACCTCTTTAATAAATATGTTAGCTTCTGAATAAAAACCTGCCAGTACTAAAGGAAATACACAAAAGACAAGTTGCCAGGTTTTGATTTTGTGCAAAATCTAAACCCAACCCATCAAATGTTTATTTTTAAATCTTATTATTGGGTGACTTTTTAAAAGAGAATAAAATTGACATTTGTTGGATGCCTTTTGTGTGACTTGACCCAGGCTAGGAGCCCTACATCCCCTTGACCTTTACTTGTTTCCCTGTGGAAAAAGGCTCTTGTGAGAGTGTTTGAAACTGAGCCTGACTACACGCCCTTCAGAACATACCTCTTACCACAGGGCATCAGTGAGCAGTAAGGCTGCTGCTCTAACAACAAACGGCAGCAGCAAAGAAGTCACCAGGCTCGTCTAATTAAACCTCAGTGTTCAATTTTCAAATAAGGTAATTGTACAAAAGCACTCTGAAAATGCATGTGTTGCCACACAAGTGTATGTTATTGTAATGATTATTTAGGACCTCACTGCCAATCCAATACAGTGCAAGCCCCACAAGAACAAGTACAGTATCCTCCAGGGCCCCCAAAGCCCAAAATTGTTCCTTGGACATACCTAGTTCAAACCTATAAATATTTAATGAATGCTGTAAAATAAAACTAAGAAGAGGATGAGCAGCAGTGAGATGAATAAATGAAACAAAAATAAGGTCATTTTGACACTAATTAAATCATTTATACATTTGGAGAGAAAAAAACGTTAAAACTATTGATTAAAATTTGATTTTTTATCCTATCTTTTTCCTGATTACTTGTAGTTGGAAATTTGTATTATACTGTTTCTACATCANGTTTGTTGGGAATTTTTTGAGTACTAATTCAATTTTGTTAGAAGTAATCAGTCTGTTTAGATTTCCTGTCTCTTCTTGACTCAGTCTTGAAAGATTGTATGCTTCTAGAAACTTATCTATTTCTTCTGGATTGTCCAATTCATTGGCATACAATTGTTAGCAGTATTTTCCTATGATTTTTTGTATTTCTGTAATGTCAGTTGTCAGTTCTTCTCTTTCACTTCTGATTTTATCTATTTGGTTTCTCTCCCTTTTCTTCTTGATGAGTTGGTTAAAGGCATATCAATTTTTTTTGTATTTTCAAAGAACCAGCTCTTGGTTTCATTAAACTTTTTTTTAACTTTTTTTGTTTATTTCCACTCTGATTTTTATTACTTACTTCCTTCTACTCACTTTGGGCTTTGTTTGCTATTCTTTTTCTAGTTCCTTTAGATGTAAGTTTAGATAGTTTGAGATTTTTCTTATTTCCTGAGGTAAGCCTGTATTGCTATGAATTTTCCTCTTAGAACTGCTTTTATTGTGTTGCATAGATTTTGGGTCATTGTGTTTTCATTTTCATTTGTCTAAAGTATCTTTTGATTTCTTCCTTCATCTTATTGTTAACAAACTTATTGTCTTGTGGCTGTTATTTAGCCTGTATGTGTTTGTGTGTTTTTCAGTCTTTTCTTATAATTGATTTCTAGTTTCATACCATTGTGGTTGGAGAAGACACTTGATATGATTTCAATTCTCCTAAATTTATTAAAACTTGTTTTGTGTCCAGCATGTGGTCTATCTTAGAAAAATGTTCCATGTGCACTTGAAAAGAATGTACATTAATACTTTCGTTTGCGAGCATAATTTGTTCCAGAAACAAACTACTCATATTACAAGACATTGCTCGTTTACCATGTTAAAAATGTATTAGAAATGTTTGCTCACCTTGAGGAACACTCGCAAACCAAGTCACTCTCAATCCAAGGTTTTACTGTATATTCTCCTGCTTTGGGGTGAAATGCTCTATAAATATCAATTAAATCCATCTGGTCTAATGTATCATTTAAGACAACTGTTTCTTTCTTGATTTTCTGTCTGGAAGACCTGTCCGTCGGTGTCAATGGGTGTTAAAATCCCCTACTATGACTGTATTACTGTGGATCTCTCCCTTTATGTTCGTCAATATGTGCTTTATATGTGTAGGTGCTCCTATATTGGGTGCATCAATGTTTACATTATATCACCTTAATAGAACAAAACCTCAAATGTTTCCTTTTAGGCTGGTAACAATAAAAGGGAGCCCTCTCCTGGCCAATGCTCAAAGGCAACCTGGGGTAAAAACACGGGCACTGATTGGAAAGCAGGGAACAAAACTGTCAGTATTTGCATTGGCATGACCGTGGTTCTAGTAAAACTACTGCAATCAGCAAAATTCCTGGGCACAAGATCACACCACATTCCTATCCCTGCCGCAAGAACTGTTGAACAAAGGTAACCAAAAATAACATATCACGTACAACAGGAACTAAAACTAGACACTCTAGGGAATAACCTAACAAAAGAACCAAAAGAGCTTTCTGGAGAGAATTTTAAAATGCTAGCAAAGGACATCTTAAAAACTAAATAAGTGGAGATGTGTGCCATGTTTATAGATATGATTTAATACTGAAAAATGTCAGCTCTTCCAAATTAATCTATAAATTCAATGCAAGTCCTATCAAAACCCCAGCATGTTCTTTTTCTTTTCTTTTCTTTGTTGGTGACTTGGTAAAGTGAATCTAAAATAAAAACAAAGAAGAATAAAGGTCTGAGAACAGCTAAAACAACTTATACAAAGGAGAATCAAGAGGAATAACTCACACTACCAGAGATTAAGACCATTTCTAAGCTATAATGACTAACACAGTATGGTGCTTATATAAGGAATAAACAATCAGATCAACAGAATAGAACTGACAGTCCAGAAATAGACCTTTGACATAGGGTGACTCATAGGAGGAGCATCAGTACCACAGAGAAAAAATGAATTATTTGGCAAAT